CTGCTGAACGTCTTCAAATTTCTTCCCGAGCCATCTGCTCTTCTCCAACAGCTGCAGATATGGGACGGGAACATCAACAGCACTAGGCGCTGACATCAGGTCAGGGCGATGAAGAACGAGCCATGCCATCAGATATGCATAGGGAAGCTCAACCTTAGGACAGATAAGCCCAGTAGATGGCTCAGGACCCACCTGAGTAAAGCTACGGACCACACTCCTAAGCCCGCAAAGAATGCTGGCAACCATCGCCGGGAGCAAAGAAAGCTCTTTCCCATAAGCCAACTGAACCGCGGGAAAAAGCACCTCAAGAGGTAAGGCATCCGAAGACTGGTAAGGAACAACGCACTTCTTCAACCAGAGTGCAAGATAGCCTGCCAACAGAGACCGAGGCTCGATGGACTTCTGCGCTCGGCAAAGGAACGAACGAAACTTGGTTCCCGCGGGGAAAGCTCCCTCAGCGCTGGCAATGGTATAGGATTGGGCCCCGCTCTTCTCCACCAACTCGTTAACGGCAGTGACAGTCAAAATATCTCGCTCACGAACAGGATCACTGGAACTACCCTCCAAGTTCTGGAACAGATAAGTGGCGAACTGCTTCAAGCTAATCTTCCTCTTGGTCTTCGCGGGAGGAGAAATCTGGATCAAGGCAGTATGATAGTGACAGGTGAGGTCCCAGAGGGTAGCATACATATCGGGATCATCATGCTTCAACCGCCACAACTGCTGGTTCGAAGGAAAGTACTCCTGATAGGGGTAATCTCCCATCAGAAGACCGGAAACCTGATGCATCTCATGGAGAGCTAACCCCAACTCTCCGTCACCGGTCAGAAAGGTGTTGCTATCAGGCATGTACGTCTCCAACAATGCCAAGAAATGGCGGCAGCTGACGGGGAGTCCATACATAGTAGCCCGTATAGGCACATACAGGCCACTGCTCTTCAGAATCTTCTCCCAATGGCCCAAGACATAGTCGGTCATACGGGGCCACCACCCCTTGGGTAAAGAAGAAGCCCAACCATAGCATCGGAACTCCGGGTGAGGAAGCCTTCTCCCGAGGAGAGCCAACCTGTTCCTCACTGTAGAAGCAACTGTAAACATCTCGTCTGGGGGTGCGGCGTCAAGGCCCATGATCCCGGGTCGTAGACCACGAACAGGATGATATCCGCCTGAACCAGGGGTCTTCCCATGAGAAACATACCCACACTGAACCCGCACAGCGTCATCAGTGAGGTCCCAAGACATCCGTCTTTCCACAACTTGTCCCTCCAGATGAGTAAAGGAACAATGACGAGGAACGGAAGGAATATATAGAAGGGCACTCTCTTCAAGATTTAGCCAATGCTCCTCTGAGAAAGTCAATGTGTCGGGATCCTCCACATGATCACCGAACAAGAAGTCCGGCTTCTTCAAAGCCTGGGTGGACGTAGCATCCGCGGTAAAAGGAGCGTCAGTAATGAGCTGGCGTAAACAGTGACGCCCCCCATCTCGTATCAGGCGACAGGACTCGTCTGAACGATCCCTGTCAAACTGCGGGAACGGATCAACCACCCGCCTAGCAGAAGTCGACGAAAAGACCTCACGGCTGCAACCGGTGTTCGCATGAACAGGAAAGCTACCACCGGGAAAATCGACTGCAATAAAGCGAAGGGGTCAGAATATCTATCTCATAAAGACAAAATGAGATTGTTCACGGGATAATTGGCGAAGACGATTTCGAGTGCCCTACACCGGGAGGACGGTATATAACCACGTAAATCACGTGATAACATATACCGACCTATAAGGTGTAAGGCAACACGAGATCGCCCCAATATACCCGAGGACTTGAATTGGCTAAGCAAAACAAGTCCGAAACCTTAACCCCCGCGGGAGGGGTATCGGTTCTTCCGTCATGACCCGCGAGAGGTCAATCCGGGATAAAAAAAATATATAAGATTCTAACCCCCAAAGCAGGAGGTCACTGGAGACGATGTCGTAGGAGCCTCCTCCATGCCATGCTGCGAGCAAGGGTGACTCCCGGAAGGTCGAGACCGACGGGGAGACATCGGGAATCTGCAATGAAGAGCAGTACATCAGGTACGATATATATACACGAAATATCGGAAAAAGGGAAATTAAGCACTTGGACTCGAAATCCTAATAACAAATAGGATTTTGTAGTTAAAGTCTAATTAAACCTACGAATTTCGTGCACGCGAAACGATAATCGTCGTCTCGCAGTAAATTTTGGTGAAATACCCGAAATACTCCTCGTGCTCAAGGCCAAATTCAGGTCAAGGACACGTATGACTCGGGTCATGGTCATCATACTTGATCATCTAACATCCCGATACCCTATAATTTTGATCAAATTTTGCAAATGAGCCCTTTTGCAGAATTTGGTCAGTTTTACATAAAAGTCCCTCCACGAACTTTTGGGTTTTGCATCCACATGCTTTTACCAAAAATTCGATCAGGGGTCTAGGGTTTAAGCTTTGTGTACTTCAGCCCCAAATTCGTGGCCCTTTTGCAAATAAGCCCCTCCAAAACGTTTAGGGACTATTTTGCAAATAAACCCCTCAAACAATTCCTTAATCCTATTGCATAAAGCACCCCTCGCATCCCTTCACCAAGTAGGCATAAACCCAATACCCAAATTTCAGTTACACTTTTGCAAAAGACCCCCCACGAATTTCAGCCCCTCTTTTGCAAATAAACCCTCCAAAAGTTCAGCACAAAACCCCCCAAGAACATGTGTTCATACATAAACCCCTATCTACTAAGCATAAAAGATGCAATCTTTAAAGCAAAATAAGAGGTTTGAGGGGAGGATCTTACCCAAATCGAAGAAGCTTCTCCGGGCTTGGAAATGAAATTTGAAACCTTAGTTTAAGGGGACCATAAACCTCTCTCTTGAAAATTCAAGTGTGAAAAGGGTTATTTCAAATGGGGGGGACCATAAACCTCTCTCTTGAAAATTCAAGTGTGAAAAGGGTTATTTCAAACGGAGGGGACCGCTAGGGGGGAGACACCACTAGGTGTCTCGGCAAAACCGAGACACCTCAACACCTCATGGGTGTCTCGGCAATGCCGAGACACCCCTTTGGTGTCTCGGCCTTGCCGAGGCACCCAAGGGTGTTTTGCCCGAGTTTTGACCCCCGCGCGACAGTTTGATACCACGAATCATTTCTTTTACCCCCCAATGTTTCCACAAAAGTTGATTTTCCCGCGCCGACGGTTGAAAATAGGGGTGAACTTCACACATCAACTTCCAGCGGTTCAAAACCCTAAGGTGGACGCCGGTCAACGCGTAACCTTAGGTCAACGCCGGACAGCGCGTTGCGACAAAAGTCAACACGTGACGACGAAAGTCAACACGTGACGACAAAAGCCAACCTATGCGGTTCAAAACCCTAAGGTGGACGCCGGTCAACGCGTAACCTTAGGTCAACGCCAGGCAACGCGTTGCGTCAAAAGTCAACACGTGACGACGAAAGTCAACACGTGACGACAAAAGCCAACCTATGCGGTTCAAAACCCTAAGGTGGACGCCGGTCAACGCGTAACCTTAGGTCAACGCCGGACAGCGCGTTGCGACAAAAGTCAACACGTGACGACGAAAGTCAACACGTGACGACGAAAGTCAACCCACGCGGTTCAAAACCCTAAGGTGAGCGCCGGTCAACGCGTAACCTTAGGTCAACGCCAAGCAACGCGTTGCAACAAAAGTCAACGTTCGACGATTCGAAACCCTAGGGTGGACGCCGGTCAACGCGTAGCCCTAGGTCAACGCCAAGCAACGCGTTGCAACAAAAGTCAACGTTCGACGATTCGAAACCCTAGGGTGGACGCCGGTCAACGCGTAACCCTAGGTCAACGCCGGTCAACGCGTTGCGATAAAAAGCCAACACACGGGGATCCGAAACCCTAAGCCAGCACAATGTGGCGGAGGTAGTTCAAAGTCAACTCAATGACACGAGCCAAACTCAATTCATCAGCTGCAGACTTGAGACTCCGACGACGGCCAGACGATAAACGCAGCGCCGGAAGAACCTCGGCTATTCGTCAAAGCATCGAATAGATCGAAAATCGAAAGAGTCAAGAGTTGAAGCTAACTACGCCGACTGAAGGCCAGATCAATCACATCCAAAGTATTCCAGCCTCTTCTATAAAAGAAACGAGTCAGGAACACTTTGGAGGGGGTATCTGTAGGCATCGAAAATTGCCTATAGTTCTCCACAACCGGTTCAGCGTTAACGAGCGACGATGAACGTAACCGTCCAATCCACATGAGCCTAAAGAGTTGAAGATAACTACGCCGACTGAAGGCCAGATCAATCACATCCAAAGTATTCCAGCCTCTTCTATAAAAGAAACGAGCCAGGAACACTTTGGAGGGGGCATCTGTAGGCATCGAAAATTGCCTATAGTTCTCCACAACCGGTTCAGCGTTAACGAGCGACGATGAACGTAACCGTCCAATCCACATGAGCCTAATCGACGTCGACGAACGACTGAAGTGAATCGACGAGTTACATGAGCGGATAGGACTTCGGAATCACAAAGACCCGGACCAATCGGGAAGCCCGGCACTGTTCACAAAAAAGGACAACGCCCTTCATGCCTCGACCACTCTACAGATAATCCAATCACCAGAGCGGGTCAAACTCTTCGTCGCGCATCCAACGCACCCGGAATCACTCAAATCCGAATCCGGACGAAGAATATACAGGGGAACCAACAAAACACCTCAAAAGGAGTCTCGGCAAGCTCGAAACACCCGAGGGGTGTCTTGGCAAGACCAAGACACCCCAGGGGTGTCCTCACCTTTTTAACACCTTTTACCACCCCCCCCTCTTGGTTTCCTATAAATAGGCCATGGCCGAGACACCCCAAGGGTGTCTCGGCCTGGCCGAGACACCAGGGGGTGTCCACGCCCCCTGGTGGTCCTCTAGACCCCCTTACCTACTCCCTTTGCCTATAAATAGACCCCCTTGGTGCCTTGATTTGAGGGGGATTTTTGGAGAGCCTTGGCGAAGCCCTGCTGCAGTGAAGAGTGCCCGTGAGCTTCAACAAGAGGAGGAGAGGTCTTGATCAGAGCCTTCATCACCCGTCCGAGCCTTAGTATTAGCCTTAGCGTTAATACTAAGAAGAGCTATTACCTCGTTTTAGCCGAGGTATACGCTTATAGCTTCTAGATCTCACGCGGATCGACGAAGTTCTGCTTCTATATCCCTCCGCGGATAGACGAAGCTCTGCCCGATTTTCTCGGAACAGATCTGATTGCCCCGGTGGTCCACGGATATCAACATCCCCGTCACAGGCAAAAGACCCACGCAAGCAAGAGATGACAAACAGCTCTTGCGTTTGTTTGAAAGGAGTTGCATTTATTTTGTTTTCATTGTGTACCGGTCTTATAAAAAGGCTATCTTTTTATTTCATTGTAACGATTGAAGTTGTAATGAATGCAGCAATGAATACAGCAACTTTTTCCGCACCAACAAATTCAGGATAAAATCCACACGTGCAGATGAATCAGCTTTAACAGTTGGTCCTGCAGCCCCAACATTCGGGACCGCCATGCTCCAATACCTTAAGAGCTTAAACTGTGTATACTCCAGCAAACGTACGAGTATAAACTGTGTTAATGGCGATTCGAAACCCTAAGGGTCAACGCCGGTCAACGCGTAACCCTAGGTCAACGCTAGTCAACACGTTGCAACACAAGTCAACGTTCGACGATCCAAAACCCTAAGGGTCAACGCCGGTCAACGCGTAACCCT